AAATGTCATCTATCCTTCCACAGAAAGTTTGAGAGAGGTGGTGGTTCCACTCTTCCCTTTCCTCGTTCGTTCCTGTGCCTCTGTATTTACTGGTGTGGAGCAAGGAGCCTCTCCAGCTCCACTGTTTCAGCTCCCTGATGCAAATGCTGCTGCTTCTGCCTTTGCTTTGAGGCGAAAGGGTTGGTTGTGTTTCAGGCAGGTGCTGGTTATGCTGTTCAGATGCAGGGCCAATGGATGTGACAAGGATAAACACAGGTAGAAGTAGTTGGGGGGTCTACAGTAAAATCCAGATAATTAGTTTAAAACTCCTGGACTAGATCTGCAGGGCTGCACGATGCTTAAACTCTGCTCAGTTTATATCTGCAGCTGCGTTTTATTTTTCACTTCATGTTTTTGTCTGTGGTCTTCAGTTTTGTACCTTTCTAGTTGCTTATTTTTTAGGCTGTGTTCCCCCTCATGAAAATGCACACATCACGTGCGTGCAAATGAAGTGAATTGTGAGATATCTTGGTTTTGTGCAGCCAAAATGTAAGCCAAGGGGCTTGACTTTGGTAGTGGCGAAACTCTGAGCGTCTGAGCACAGAGGGCGATAATGTGGCATAACGTGTGTCCTGGCTCTGCGGCCATCCCTCCAGCCTTGCGGTCGGTGCAGGATTCGGGTCCCGGGAGTGCTGGAGCAGTGCAGCACAGCGGGATGGTTGGCGGTACCGAGCTCGCCTGGGCTGCACCTTAAAGAGCAGCTGCTGGCTGCCGCCCCCCATCCCCTGCTGGCTGCCACCCCCTGTCCTCTGCTTTCTGGAGCTCCGGGTGCCTCCGCGCCGCCGGAGGAGCGGGCAGCCTGCGCCTGTTCCACGGGATGCACTGGTGTTTGCAGGAGGCCGAGTCGAGTGGTCCCCTTCAAAGGCTGCTTTAACCATTGATTTTTCCCGAGCACAGAGGAAGGATGTTGAGCAGATTAGCTCGCCTGTTTGGAGGAGAAGTGGTAAATGCACGGCACACGTAGGTGAGAACTGGGTGCGGGACAAGGGGAAATGTCTTCTGCAGCGTGGAGTGTTTAAAACAGCAAGTCCATGTGATTAAGCATCTCCTAAAATTTGCAGTGGCGACAGGTGGGAGGTGACACCACCAAGTGAGTTCTTGGTTGATGCTCCTAGTGACCGACTAGCTTTTTGATAAGCTCCCTGTTTACCCTGGTGAGAACTCTCTGCAGCAGCACGTCCTTGAGGGTGTGAGCAGTCGAAGCAGACTCTGTGTGCTCCTCTAAATAATACTTATTTTTCTTTTTTAATCTTTTCTTGTCAGTGTGTTTGCCAAAGGCAAGTTGCTTGCCTTCCCTTCTGCCGTCCTTTGTGTCCCTGCCTATCCTGTGCCTTGCATGGACACCGGGTTTGGCTGGGGCCTCTCCAAACCTGTCTTCCCTCTGCTTCAGCCCTGCAGCACCGTGTCTGTCCCGCGCTGTGTTCCCTTCTCCATGTCCGCGGAAGGCGCGTTCCCTGCTCATGGTGACGTGCCCTTCTGGCCTTCCCTGTTTGTCTTTGCTTATCATAACGGTATCAGAACTTAACGGTTATCATAACGGTCCCTGAACGTGAGGAAAAACTTCTGCCCATGAGCGTGCCACAGCCCTGGAGCAGGTTGCCCTGAGGGGCTGTGGAGTCTCCTCTGGAGATGCCTGGACATGATCTTGTGCCGCGTGCTCAAGGTGACCATGCTCATGTAGGGGGTTGGCCTGCGTGACCTCCAGACGTCCCTTCCAACCTTAATCATTCCGTGATTCCGTGACTTTCCTGCACCTGGTCCATTGCGGAATGGAGAGCCATCCCTAGGTGCATCATCTCCCGTGCTTGTGCAGTTATTTCCTGATGTCGCCGTATATGCCCCAGGTCCTCACCACGTGCTTCTAACTGGGCCAGCAGTGTAATTGCAAGACTAGTCTCATTGCTGAGGTGTCAGGAATTAATGGACAGATGTGCGTCCGAAAGGTCCATCTCTGCTTAGCTCTGTAAGGCACTTGGAGAAGGATCTGATAATCTTAAGCCATTGCTCCTACTGCACTGTTTTAGCCTCGCAGTAGTAGAGCAATGCGTGCGTGTGACAGCCATGTCACATGTGAGCTGTGATGCAAGTTGCTGGAATAGAAAAATATTTCCAAGTGTTGCAAGCCCTGCTGCAGAGCTGGTCCCTGCAGTAAGGATACGCTGAGGAGCTCCGGCGGATTCCGTGAGCTCGGAGACACGAGGATGAGAGCGTCAGAGAGGACACGTCCCTGGGTGACTTACAACAGCAAGTTCAGACCTGCTTTTTTGTGTGTCTGAGGAGGATGTTGCCGCATGTAGTGCAAGCACAGCTCTTCATGGAGCTGCTGGTGCCAGCCCGTCTATTGCGGAATGTCCCCAGGATCCTGACAAAGCAGAGAAACAAAAAGCGAAAAAAAAGGCGCAGAGCCATTATCAATGGGGGCAGGAGCAGACTGTGTGACTTGCATCACGCCACGGTGTGAGCTGTGCGTGGATAAAGCCCCTTCAGTGCTGGAGCTCACGTCCTTCCCCTTCCTAAAGGATGCGCGGGAGCAGAGGTCCGAACGGATGGGTAGGGAGGAGCTACTGCCGCTCAACACCCGCCTCTGCGTGGCCGTGTTCAGTTTTTAAAGCCGTCTTGGAGAATGAAGCTAATAAAGCTGTGGTTTGGAGCCTGACTCTGGTTCCACGCGGAGCAGATGCCATGTCCTGTGTGGGTCCCCTGGGAACCTGCTGTGACAGGAGCTGGGACGTCCTGCCGGGCCTGTCCCCCGCGGCGGCCGTGGCACCGGGGCTCTGCC